CCCCTTTAAAGAAACTTGCCAAGAAAACCCTGTTTAGGGTTGCCATAAGTTGGAAATGACTTGAAGGCACACAACTACAATGATGGAAGGAGGGAAGAACCACACAATCCGCAATGCAAAAGTGATTGTCTGTGTTGGAAGGATCTGTCTTCCTTTCTTTGGCCTTTCCAGAGTCCCAAGTTATATTAGTGTCTCATTCCACCAATGCTCTCAATTCTGCAAAGTAATCACATTGGAGGGAAGGGGAGAAGAGGAGGGGAAAATTTTTTTGATTAGAAAACAAAATCTATATGAGAGTCATGCATATTCATTAGGTGTGGAGATTAATATGCATAATTATGCAAATTAGACAGCAATTAAACACCAATTCTCCGGGGGAATGATTAACACAAAAGGCTTTCGGGATGGAAGCGTGCAATTTTGAAAGAAGTTTCTGGTTAAATGAACAGCAAGGGGAGCGGAGGAGAGAAAGAGAGACGAGGATGGTGCGTTTCCCATAATAATAAGCATTTTAAAAAAAGATCTGAAGCACGCATGTACAATGGGGAGTGTGCAAGGGCACGTCTGCACACTTGCCTCCCTGTCTTGCTGACATCCATTGGTCTGTATATTTTAGTGCGAGGTTCACAAGACCAAAACACTTCTGGAATGGGATCTCATTTTGCCCTTAGAGCTGGGCAGGGGAACAAGACCTTGCTTTTGTGAGAGAAAAGCACTCTGCACATGCTCAGAGCAATTTGGAATCCATTGCTTGACCTGTTCTTTAAAAAATAAAAATCTCTCCCCCCCTTCTATAAGGAGAAAAGTTTGCACTGCGTCCTATGATGGAGGGATTTTTTTTAAAACAATGCACCAATCTTTTCTGAAAGGCCTCTTGGAAGCTAAGCAGGGTGAGCCCTGGCTTGTACTTGGGTGGGAGGCCGCCAATGAATCCCATGTACTGTAGGTGATATTTCAGAGGAAGGAACTGGCAAAAATACCTCAGAGGATTCCTTGCCTAAGAAAACTCTATGAAATTCATGGGGTCGCCATATTCAGCAGAAGCCAGCATGGTGTAGGGGTTTGAGCATTGGACTGTGACTCTGGAGACCAGGGTTCGAATCCTGGCTCGGCCATGCAAACTGACTGGCCTACCCTGTGCAAGTCACACTCTCTCAGCCTCAGAGGTTGTCAATGGCAAACCCCCCTGAAGAAATTTGCCAAGAAAACCCTGTGATAGGTTCGTCATAAGTCAGAAATGATTTGAAGGCACACAGCAACAACAACAACAACACACACAACTGTTTTCTTGCAGACTCCTGTGTTGGTTTGGAATAGTCTTGCTGTGAGACCAAAATTGTCAAAGGTCTGGAAACAAAGCTTTATGGAGCACTGTTGATGGATCTGGATATTTTTAACCTGGAATAGAGAAAATGGAGAGGTGAAATGAGAGCCATCGCTTTGGATGCCTACACCCGTATTTTTAAAGGCTGGCA